GGATGGATGGATGGATGGATGGATGGGGCAAATAGATGAGGAAGAAATGGCGATTTCATTTTCCTAGACTCCAAGATCACCGCAGATGGGGACTGCAGCCAAGAAATTAAAAGACGCTTGCTCCTATGGAGGAAAGCTAAGGCAAATCTAGACAGCATCCTAAAAAGCAGAGACATCACCCTGCTAACACAAATGTGTATAGTCAAGGCAATGGTTTTCCCAGTTGCAGTGTATGGCTGTGAAAGTTAGACCATAAGAATGGCTGAGCGCGAAAGAATTGAGGCCTTTAAACTATGGTACTGGAGAAGACTCCTGCGAGTCCTTTGGACTGCAAGACGATCAAACCGGTCAGTCCTAGAGGAGATCAACCCTGACTGCTCTTTAGAAGGCCAGATCCTGAAGATGAAACTCGAATACTTGGGCCACCTGATGAGAAGGAAGGACTCACTGGAGATGCTGGGAACGATTGAGGGCAAAAGAAGAAGGGGATGACAGAGAATGAGGTGGCTCGATGGCGTCACCGAAGCTTAAATGGACTCCAGAAGATGGTAGAAGATAGGAAGACCTGGAGGAATGTTGTCCGTGGGATCGCAATGAGTCAGACACAACTTTGCAACTAATAACAACAAACTAGGACATTGTAGAATAAGGTTCAATGCCCATAGAGACTCTGTTCTCAACCACACCCTTTCAAAAATATTTTTCTTTTATCCAAGGTTACTGTGGTTTGGGGTGTTTTCCTACTCTTTGTTTACTTGCAAAAAAAAATCTTTTAGTTTAGTTTAAGCTTTGGTTCTACAAGCACCAAAGCTCAGTTAGGAAATTTCATACACCATAAACAGTCAGTTCCAGGCCAATCCTGATTTGGAAAGAGATACTTCTATAGGTGTGTAGCTGCTCTTGTTTTGAATCTCTATAGGTGTGTAGCTGAGATATTATACTAGGGTGTTGATATAAACAAGTCTAAAATATGGAATTTTATCAATACCAGTAAACAGTTTGAGGAAGGCTGAACTAGTTATGGATATCCCAGTCTAGCAGTCTCTAAGACGTTGGAGCTGTAACTATGATAATTTCTCAACCAGTTATTTTGTTGGCCATAGTGGGTGTGGAATGTTGGGAACTGTAATTCAACATATCTGAAGAGCTCTGATTTAGAAACTTTACTAGACATTTTAGAGGTCACACAGACATTTCATCCAATATCAAGACAGAACTAAACTAATTATACTGCTATATTTTCCACTCTCAGTTTCTTTTAACTTTGTATTTCTTTGTGTTGTGTTATGAATATTATTAGCATCAAAGATGTTAAAGAACCCTTGGGCATCTCAAAATTTTACATATTTATTGCAGTAGTCTTTAAGACTTAAGAGATTTGTTATTGTAATGAACAGTTTTGCTGGCAAGAAAATTAAGATGTTTGCTTAGTTTTTCACTTGTTTTCTTCACTCACTTCAGAGTTTTGAAACCAAATTCACACACATTTTTAAATAACATGGTATCAATACTAATCTGGAGCCAGTAATATAGAGTTATTCTTTTTTTCTCTCCTTTCAATGCATAGGGAAGTGTAGGATGAAGGAGCAGGATTGAAATTTGAGATTATAAAAATATGTTTACAGAATAACTATTCAGTTTGAGAAAGTTTAAACTTGAAAATCAAGTCAGTTGCTTCCTAGAGTGTTGCAGGAATTTGATAATTGTTCAGATGAACTATGCTATCTTTGCATTTATAGACTGCAATAAAGTGATTATATAGCTAGCTTACAAAACACACTCAAAAGACTATACTTCAATGGGTATCCTTAAAATTGGAGAATGATATTAGGTGGTATGCCACAACAATCAATTTTATGTCTGATTGAGGAGAATACTTATTGAATTTGCAGATGATTCAAAGTCAGGAAATGTAGAACATAGAAATAAAAATTATAGTTTAAAAATAACAGAAAAAAATACAAGAGATATAAGTGCAAAATTCACAGTAAAAAAAAACACCAAATCAAATGTACAATTTTAGGATAGCGTCCATCTGGTATACGAACTGCGCATATGAAAGATTGTGGATGTAGTTATCTACAATTGAATATGATCCAGCAGTGTCACATAACTGGAAAGAAGACACTCAGTTTGCATCAAGAGAAGCATAGTCTCCAAATTGCAGAAAGTAATCATTCCAGTCAGTCCTGCTTTAGTTAGACTCACCTTGACTAGTGAGGTTTCCCTCCCCCCCCCCGCCCCAGTTTAGGACACCATATTTTATCTTGAAAAAAGGATGACTGACGGGAAACATGATAGAACTCTAGAAATATCTGAATGAATATCACATTAAAGAGAGATGTTTTACTCTCTTATCAAAGAGTACAAGACACAGTTGCTAGATTTATGTTACACAGAGGCAGAATCCAACTAAATGTACATAAATCTTCAGAAATGGCAAAATTGACCTATTTACTCAGGGATGAAACAGTTCTTTGATAAAAGAATGGAATCCTTTTATGATATTTTGCTGTAAAAAATGAAATGGTGATTTCACAGTTTGTTGATTTAAAAGGTTGAAAATGAAATACAAGGGAACCATATGATGTAATCTGAGAGAGAGATAATATGTTGATCTGTAGGTGCTGTAAAGAACATTGGAAGCCACTTCTTTGTCTTTTCCTTTGTACTGTTTTTTTCACACTTTTTCCTTTTTCTTAGCTCTCTTTTACATATGTTATGTTTAATTTTTCGTGTAAAAATCCTTATTAAAATTATATTTAAGTAATAGATTTATCGAGAGTATAAGAAAGAACTAAGAACTGTGCAATGCAAAAGGATATTTACATTCCCTTTTTACTTAACTAAAAGTAAACAAAAACACCACACTTCATCCATCCGAATATCACTGAACTTTCCTCTGAAAGAAATTAAAAAATGATTGACAAAAATTAGGGGAAAATGTATTAGAAAAACCTGCCTTGTACTCTTGCTCCGGCAAGTACATGAGAGAGAATGGTGGAGAGGGTGTGTAAATTCCATGGAAGATACTAAAGACTGGAATGCAGAGCAGAAAGTTTTAGAACTTTAAAACATTCAACCGGAATGTTACTTCCCTGGTCTCCCTTGTTCTAGCTGCAACTGGCTCTTTGAATTATTTTCTCAGCCAGTTCCATAACAGTGGCTATAACAGAGTTTTTATGGATGTGACTTTTTCACCCAAAAAGGTTGAATCAGGCTTGCTGTAGGCTATCTGCTGTAAAATAGGAAATGACATTTTCAACCATGAAGCAGAAGCTGTAGCCCAAGGTTGAAGGAACCTCCCAGGTAGGTGTGAGAAGCAATTAAAGATCTCATTCATTGGAATGGTATGATGTGCAAGTATTGTGATTCTTTTAATCCTACCACAAATAATCAGGTGAAGAAATGAATTATGAAGTGAAGCATATAGAATGGATTCCAAAATTATATGATAATTCAACTGAGATAGAAATACAAATATTTTCTTACAATACATTGTGTGTTTAAAAGCTTAATCAATTCTTAAGTAATAATTCCCACCTAAAAAGTTAAGAAAACATTTTACATGACACATGGCTTTCTGTGAGGAATGAACATGAGAAATCCTTCACTTAAATACAATTCTCCAAGTGTAGTTTTGAATAGCAGATTCTGCCCAGTTTGGCTACTATGAAGATTGACAAGTGCATGCTTTATGCTTTATACAACTGGTAATATTATTTGACATATTAATCCTGTATATTGTACAGGTCAGAAGGAGGGCTGAGAAAATATCTACAGACCTCTCAAATTCCGGTTATAAACTGTTTCAACCAGTGGTGGGATTCATATATTTTTTTACTACCAATTCTGTGGCCGTGGCTTGGTGGGCGTGGCATGGCTTGGTGGGCGTGGCTTGTGGGCATGGCAGGGGAAGGATACTGTGAAATCCCAATTCCCTCCCCAATCCAGGGGAAGATTACTACAAAATCCCCATTTGCTCCCGATCAGCTGGGACTCAGGAGGCAGAGAATAGATGGGGGTGGGGCCAGTCAGAGGTGGTATTTACCAGTTCTCTGAACTAAAAATTTCTGCTACCTGTTCTCCAGAACCTGTTGAATACCACTTCTGGTTTCAACTCTTCCCCTGGGGATGCAATGGCTGTAGGACATTGCATACCAAAACAGCTAGAGACAGAGACAGTTTTTCCCCTTGTGTCATCACTCTGCTGGACACCTAATCCTCACAGCATTGTCTTACATCTAAGTATATTTACCCATGTTGTATGCCTGTAGTACTATTATTATCCTTCTCAACTTCTCTACCTCTTATTGGTATTTATTATTATTACTCTGTTGTTTTGAATGTACATTGAAAGCTTTTGCGCCAGATATAAATTCCTTGTGTGTCTAATCATATTTGGCCAATAAAGTATTCCATTCTATTTCATTCCATTCCATCTCTCAGAACTAAACTCGATTAGATTCATGTTGTTCTTTAAGACACATTATTTGCTAATGAGGTGAGAATAGGTGTTCTTCCTGTGTGATTTAAAAAGGCATTGGAGACATTGTAGGATCATTTTGTTGTGATTTTTGAAGTTTTTGAAGCTTTTTATTACAGTCTGGGACATGGATGAAGATTGTACAGCTTTCAGGGTTCAAAAGAGGAGGAAAAGACAGCACTTTTGAAAGGACCTGAAGTATTAACACATGTATAATTCCTTTCTAGATTGCATTGCCAACTGAAGATGGCAAAAGGAGATACTGGTGTGCGATGCTTTCAGGGCTTGCTAATTCTGGGAAATGTTGTCATAGGGGTAAGTAACTTAACAATAGTTTTTTTGAAAATATACCACTGTCAAGTTTCACACATTATTAAGCCACGATTTTGAAAATAATAGTTAGCTTTGTAAACTACAGTTGGTTGCATTGATATATCACGATAAACCCGAAATTTTGGTTTAGAAATTGCTCCATTGTTTCTTGGCTTGGTAAGAGAGACAAAAAAGAAAGGACTAAACTAGACTGGACTGGGATTAGTGGAGTGTACTCAGTGTTGCCTGACTTTTTTTGCAGTTCAGCTATGTAGGTGGAAGAATTTATCTCAGGGTCTTCTGTCCAGTTTTCTCCAAACCAGGCCTTCTCTACTGGCAGCTGATTCCCTTTATTTTTCCCAGGATCTTGGCTGAAGCCACCAACTGCAACCAGCCATATCCCTCCTTTCCCTATGAGTTGTGGATCTTCAATGAGCTTGTTCCTCTGAGTCTCCACCTCCATATTTCCAGTGAGGCCACCCTTGAACCATGGCTTTCCTTTCCCCAAACAACAACCAATACTTGCCTGGAAGATTCATGTCACTTTCCAACTTCTCTCCAGTCTTTCTCTCTTCCCCTTCTTTGTTCACTCCAATTTTACTCTTGTCTCCACTCTCTTCTGTCTCTCCAATTTTGGGTTACGTTGGCAGCATGCCCTGCAGCAACTGAGATGGCGGCTTCCCTGGAACTCTAGTGCCCATGCCCTATATGCCTAACTGCCCCAATGAAACTGCCCACTCAAAATCTCCCCATGCCAGCCCTGGCTAGCAGCTGGGTCAGTTCATCAGACTTCCTAATTCAGCAGCTGCCTTTCGAGGCTAAAGCTGCTTCCCCATCTCCTTTTCTCACTCTTTATTCTGGGTCATGCCAGCAGAACAGCAGCCGTGCTAGGCTATGAAATCCATATATTGCACATAGGAGTTGAATGCAGAAAGCATTCTTATTTATTTATTTTTATTATTGCACTTTGATCTTTAGTTTAAATTGCATGTTAGGATTAGGAGTGTGTGCATCTGTATGTATGCATGTGCTCGGATGTACGTGTTTCCTAATTCAGCATTACTTTGAAATGTAAAAAATGCAAATGTGTTTTTCATTTGTGGAGACAAGAATAATGGCAGAAAGAATGCCTATTGTGAGTGAAAAATAACTTATCCATTTTCTTGTAAAAAAAAACAAATAAAAAATGTTTTTGTCGAATAAAAGTATAGAAAAGTAGTATTTCTTCTAAAAAGTAATACGTGAGAGAGAAAATACAATTGGGATAAGTATCATGTGACCAGCATAATGACTGGTAAAAAGAGATTGGCATCAGTCTGAGGAAACATCATTGTCCATTTAAAGGAGTCTAGAACTGAAACACTTGGAAGCTGGAAGAATGGAAGCTATGCAAAATATCTGTAATGCTTCCTGTCACAAATTTGGATAAGTACTTTTTTGATCTGGAGTATCCTTTTTATGAAAGAAAGAAGTGTGAGATTCAAGTAGAATATTCGGTTTGGCTCAGATTTTAGCCTTAAAAACAAATGCAAGAATTTAGAGAATGTTCTGGAAAGACTCACATGTCTCTCTGTTTTCAGTGTTGTGGCCTTGCGCTCATGGCTGAATGTATATACTTTGTGTCTGATCAACACTCTCTATATCCATTGCTGGAAGCTACGGACAATGATGATATCTATGGTGCCGCCTGGATTGGAATCTTCACTGGTTTCTGTTTCTTTTGTCTATCTGTTCTTGGTATTGTTGGTGTCATAAAATCAAGCAGGACAATGCTATTAGTGGTAAGTTTGCAGCAACAAAAGGTATTGGTGATCTTACCAACTAACAAATACATCTGCCAGCTGTGTATCTTGGTATATTCTGAAATAGTGATGTTACCATGGAAGACAATAATGAATAGGTTGTCAAGGAAATACTGTGTTTGCAGAGTTTCAGAGGCTGAAATCATTATATGTGCTGGCACTTCTTGCACAAATAAAAATTAATGATAGTTTTAGTTTGTCAGAAGTAAAAACCTTTTGGTTAAAGGTATTTTTGCATAGTTTGCTGTCAGTCACTGTGACATGAATAAAAAAAGAAAAAATGATTTTTCCCCCTAGGTCTTCAGTTTTACCATTTTAAGATGAGGATCTTATCAATGGCATTATAGTCACATTTCTTTAGAATAAAAAATCTTTCCATTCAGTGCAACTAAAAACTAAACAAAGTTTTTGATTGGCATAGTTATGCAACCAAATATAGCAAGAGGAAAGTGAAGATGATCAGAACTGCATACAGTAGCTACGTAATTTTCACAATAGTCTTGACATAGGGGAGCTATCATGGTCTATAGACAGATAAAAATTGTTTCAAACTCAATCCAAGAAAGATGGAACAGTTGTTAATTCAGAATCCGATGGACTGTAGGACTTTACTAGCATTAATTCTTAAATTTAAAATCTGAGGTAAAACGGTTCCTCATGGAATCACATATCCTTCGCCAGGAGATCTTTGCCCAGTTTCAGGTGATGCATCCTTTGTAGTTGTTAGGTAAGCTCCCCGTTGGGACAGTGAGTGCATTCAGAGAAGTGTTGTTAGAGTTGTGTTGGAGAACACACAAACCAGCATACAGAGACACTGCAGTTTAAATAGGCTTTTACTTTCGTGGAAATAGAGGTATCAGAGTCCATCAAACAGTCCAAGTCATACACGGATAATTCAGTCAGATATCAATGTCTTTCAGTTAAGGGATAATCCAAATAATATAGTCCAGTATCATATAATCAGTTCAGTATTCAAAGTTTGCTAACAGTTGCAAAACTTACAATAGCTCACGACACTCAGATCAGATCAGCCCAGCATCTAACAAACAGAGAGAGAACTAACAGACATTCTGGCTCCCTCTTATGGCCGATTGAGGAAAACAGCAACCAATCACATTTTACAGTATGTTTAAAGCAACAGGTACAACATTGTGACATGATTTATATATTGCCAACCCAACCATTAGAATTATATTCCTAACAGTAGTCTTACCTGGAATAGGATGCCCCGAGAACAATCACTCACCTAGATTGCTGTAATTCTTTCTACATGAGTTTGTACTTGAAGAGTATCTGGAGATTTCAGTGGGTCTAAAATGCAATAACCCACATATATCATACTTTGTTTTGATACTGCATTGTTATATCCTTTTTGTAAGAGTTGCCGTGGCTAACTATATTTCTGAGTGCAATTCCAAGCACTAGTCACCAACTCTATCCCAATATAATTTTAGGCTTGGATATCTAAGAAAGTATTATTTTTCCTAGGTAAATTCTGAAAATCCAACCTGGATGTTGAAAAAAAAATACCTGTGGGGTACTACTTATCTACTATGAGCACAATTGAAGGACCATATGGTAGTCATCTCTATTGGGCTCCTTCCTATGGAATAGCCTGCCTCCCATTCATATGGTCTTATAAAAAGTTCTTAATATGTGGTTCTTCCAGAAAGCTTTTGGGAATCGTTTATGAACCTATCAACATTAGAATTAGCATTATATGAATATGTGATATTGATATCAATATCTATATTCACATATATCTCAATACAGATATAGATATGCACATTGCCCACACATGATAATACATACCTACATATACAGCCTAGAAGCCAAATGAATTGAAGAAGTGGGTGGATGGATGGATGGATGGATGGATGGATGGATGGATGGATAAACAAGGCAATTTTCTATATACTTTTACAGTTTTCCTGTACAATTTTAAGAAACTAAGAAATTCATTTCTATCATAACATTACTCTCAAGTTAGAATATAAACTGTATTCAGTTGCACACATCATAAAACATGTATGACAATTTTCCTGCAATACATTCGTGTTGCAGAAAAGAGTTTAAATGCTAAATTACTATATGTATGTTCTCATTTATTCAAAAACTGTGATTGGTAGCAAAGAAATTATAAGTGGAAGAAAAGCATGATTTTGTGAGTCAAAAATAAATACAAGTAAAAAAAATGTCACAGGAAAAAAAAAGTAGTGCTAGAAATCCTAGATAAATATTTCCAAAATATCTTAAATGGAGAAAGATTTAATCCCACACACTGTAATAAAAATGGCAAATCATTCTGAAATGTACAAAAATCAAATTGGAAGTTACCAGGAAAAGCTTGGACTCTTAATAGACTCTTAGTAGAGAAGCTTAGACTCTTAGGAAAATAACCTTTTCACAAACCGCAGGATTTAGTAATTCCTCGTACCTGAAGTAAATTCCAATTACACATAGCCTGTTCTTGGTTTTGACATTCAAAGTATAAGAAACTACAGCTACGCAGAATTGTAAAGTGCTGAAAAAGTACGTATAGAAAAACAGTCTGGCATCTTTAGATTAGCAATGAAGTCATTGTTTTGAGAGACCTTCCTTTTAGCCCAAGATTTTTTTAGAAATAAATATATTTATAGTTACAGAGCATTGAAATGGATTCAAATGTTAATACAACAGTAATTTCAGAAGAAATAGATCATTTTTCCTACGTTGAAGTCCAGAGCTCGGACAATTTATTGTGGATATATTATACAAAAGTAAAGGCTTCCAGTGAAGGGAAGTGGTGGCTCAGTAACTAAGAGGCTGAGTTTGTCAATCAGAAGGTTGGCAGTTCAGTAGTTCAAATCTCTAGTGCCACATAACGGAGTGAGCTCCCATTACTTGTTCCAGCTTCTGCCAACCTAGCAGTTCGAAAGCATGTAAAAAATGCAAGTAGAAAATTAGGGACCAACTTGGTGGGAAGGTAACAGCGCTCCATGTACTTCAGCGTTTAGTCATGCTGGCCACATGACCACGGAGATGTATTTGGACAGTGCTGGCTCTTTGGCTTAGAAATGGAGATGAGTACCACCCCCTACAGCCGGAAACGACTATCACGCATGTGTGGGGAACCTTTACCTTAAATGCTTCCTGTATGTGATTTAAAAGACCAAAAGTTAATAATCTCTATAGTAGATTATATTATACAGACAAGGTATGTCTAAATACATATCTTATAGAAGAACCTTTTATGTGCCATCAAGTGTTTGTTGAGTCTTAGTAACTAATACATTTAACCCTTAGGAATATGAAATCTGAAAAATGATTTTTATATTTTTTTCAATTAAGAGAAGAAATGGGAAGATAAATTCATATTAATTTATAATACATATTTCATTTTAAATATTTAACAGGTTATATAAAACTTTTATTTTAAGGCCACAGGGTAATGAAATTATGACTTAAAAGTTTCAACGTGTTGAATTTTATTGGAATCTTTACTGCAGAATGGCTTTTAAGTTTTAGTAAATTAGCAAGAACTAATATTGAAGATTATTAATAGTAAATTTTACACTGCAGTAAAGTTGTACTACATAAACTATAAACTTCCTAGTATATGTTAAGCAGAGCACTACATGAAGCTAATTATATGGCAATGCCCAACTAGTTTTTATTTTTTTGTGAAAATATTTTGAAAAAAACAGGAAAATCATTCAGCAGACTGTGGCATAAACCCTCCTGTTGATTTTATATCCAATTTTCTTTAGACATAGAAACTGATGCACTATAAGACTGATTGAGTTTTTATTGGTAGCAGCAAGGCTTGTTATTTCAAAACATCAGAAAATGGATGCATTTAAAATGATCTTAAAAGGATGGGAAATAGCTTTATCTCAAATCATTAGCACTTCAATGAAGAGCTTTGAAAGACTATATAAATTGGGATAGATACAGTATATTGAAGTTTGGGAACCATTTCTTAAGTATATTAATAAAGCTGTTCCTAAGATCATCTTCTGTGCAGAAATTTCATTCTGGCATGAAATATTTACACAGAACGTTCTCATTTCTGTTTAAGATGACATAACATCTAGTTTATTTCCCTTTTTAAATTTCTTTTCCTTTGTTGTAGTTTCCTCTTTTTTTAAGGTAGGGCTTCTTAAAAACATTTTTTCTCAGACTTTAGATTCTTTAGTACAACAAAATGTGAGTTCAAAAAAGATGTTACACTTTGAAAGGCCAAGCTAATCCTGTTTTGCTGTCCATAAGGAAGTTATTTCAAGAAGTAATGTTGAAACAAATCCTCTGGCATTGTAATGCCCAGAATTTGGAGAAAATTAGTATTAGAATTCAATGCATGAGAGCATTCAGGCTTTACAGAATGCAGTGAATAGATTATACAGAATACTGTGCAGGCCAAGCTTCAATAAAGACATCAATCATAACATGTTGACATGGATTTTGCAGGTCATACTGTCCTACAAATGGAAAAGATGGTTCCTGTTAGATATTTCCTCCTCCCCACACTGACAGAGGTTTCCATCAAGGTCCTCTGTTCCAGCGGGAACAGAGGTTTAATCCCGTTGGTCAAAGGGTCTGACAGATCCCTTTAAAGGGGGCTGTTGTCCCACCCTTCCTCAGCCGGATGTTTACCTCACTTGCAATAAGAGCTGTTGTTACTGGAGCCTTTGTGTGCCTTCCTTTACCCTATATAACAGTTCCTACTATATTTGCCAGATAATCTCTGGAATGGCTTATTACTTGCATAATAGACAGTGTTATTTGGTGGATAACATAATCATAGAAGGCTACAGTTTGCAAATGGATATAATTTTTAATAGACAGGTTAATGAATGGATTTGTACATTTAGGAGCTCCTGAACAACTTACAATAGGAAAAGCTGATCATTTTGCTTGTATGATTTGAAGTAGTTGTAGATCAAATATGGTTTTGAGCACTTTATTTCCAACCCATATCACTGGCAAAGGAGAATATGCTGTGCAGAGAGTTCAGTCAATAACTTGTCACTCATTTGTGGCTGTCTTGTTAAAAATCTGGTTCATGCTGAGAACTGAATTTATAAAATAGTCAGACTAAGGACTAAGATTGGTAGAAGGGAAATAAAATAACATGTGAAGATTATGTTGTTATTCCAACTACTGCCTTACTTTGGACACCACTCTGTTTTATTAAGACATGCATCCAATTGGATTGATCTTCCTTGATATTAAATTTGCATGAATACAGGTAGTCCTTAATTTATGGACCAGAATTGGGACTAGAAATTCTAATTTCTTGTTAAGCAAGGCAGTTGTTAAAGGAGTCAAACCCACTTTTATGACATTCTTTGACATGGTTGTTCAGCAGTTGTTAAGTGTTAAGTGAATCCCGTGGTCGTTAAGCAGATACAGCCTACCCTCAGCTTCCCCATTGCTTGCTGGAAACCGGCTGAGAAAGTTGCAAAGGGTAATCGCATCAGCCCAGGATGCTGCAACCATCATAATTACATGCCAGTTGCAACCACCAGAATTTTGATCATGTGATTGTGGGGATGCTGCAACAATTATAAGTGTGAGGGACAGTTGCAAGTACCGGTAACTTTTTCAGTGCCATTGTAACTTTGGATGGTCACAAAATGATGTACTGGTTGTAAGTTGAAGAGAACCTGTATGTACTCAATATAGTAAATTAATGCTAATTTATAAGCTGTGGCTGGTAGATTCCTGGATTATTAAGCAGAGCAATTAAATGGACCCACATCATTCTGTTCCCTGCCTATAAATTTTTGCAAACAAAAGAAATAAAAAGTTTTTAAAGATCTGTCAATTCAATATCATCTAACACAGATACTAAAGTAGGTTGGTGAGTCCTACTCTTGGTTCCACTAGCTGGTGTACGTGTTAACAGGAGTAGAACATTCTCAATAATAATGCTGCATTCATGGAACTTGCTTCTAGGAAAAATGTAGCCGGTTCCTATTCTGTGTTGTTTTAGAAAAGGAATTGCAGGATTCTTGGTGTTTTATTCCTGCTTTGATTCCATCATTTTTTAAAATTGCATTTTGTGATCAATGTGGCTTTTTCAGTAGAGGTCTATGAACAATATATGAACAAATAATTTAGCTGAAAGTTGCTCGAGAAGCCATTCCTGCTTCTTTCCTAAGCTTTTAATTCTGGCAAACTAAAAGATGAAGCAGGAAGAAACAGAAGGAATAAGACAGATTTCAGGGGAGGGGTGTTAAAGCACTCAATTTCAGACTGAAGTATATCAAATGTTCTTTGTGACATGGGTTTTGTTTGTTTGTATTTAGTACATCATCCTGATGATGATTGTCTTTGCCTTTGAAGTGGCGTCTAGCATCACAGCAACAGTGCATCGGGATTTCGTGAGTATTCTGCCAGTGATGTGTCTATTCTTTCAGATGCTCTCAATTCAGCGAAGAGGTTAAGGGGGGGGGGTGTTCATTTTTGCAAACATGTTGAAGGCCTGGCAGCACCTTTTTATGACATGACCAAGTTTTTAATTCATTATTTTAATGTAAGGGAAAGGAAATCTTTTTACCACATCTGTGGACAGGGTTTTTTTATTTGTTTATTGACTAGTGTTTCTTCATTAGCAAACACATTTCAGTGATGTGATCATTCTTTTTTTTTAAAAAAAAACGAAGCTTAATCACATATGAATTCTTTAAAGTTACTCAGTGAAGTAGTCTACCAAACGTTGGAATTTGTGGATTAAGCTTGTGTTAATGTTAGTACATGCTAATTAATGTTCACATTAGTTAGCATGTACTACTGGAAGAAAATAAATAATTTTAACTAATTTAAAAAAAAAACCTGAGATGTATTTGCTAGATGTTATTAAGGATGTGACTTCTGACTTTAGGAAGAGTTTTCCAAATAGGGTAAAAAGCTCATATTCATTCCTTTCATTACCATTTAGCTTACAAATGGACTTTTCTTGAAACAAATGTTGGAAAAATACCAGAATCCAGACCCAATCAACAATGATGACAAATGGAAGAGTGAAGGTATTACCCAGACATGGAATCGTCTCATGTTGCAGGTAAGAGTACTGTACAACTTTGGGACTAATTCTTCACTCTCATTTAAGAATATTTTTAAGATTGTGACACTGTTAGCATGAAAGTCTGGGAGACTGTGGGAAGCAGATGGGAGAGAAGTTCAGTTTGTGTGAAAAGATTCATCACAGACCAGATGGGCAGATTTGGAAGGAAAGACACATTTCAAAGAGACTCTGGATTAACTGGCTTACGCCCTAAAAAGTTGATCTTTTTACAGTTTCCAACTTTGTGTTTTATAGCATGTAAGACATTGTTCTGAAATCTATGTGGTTTTTGCTTCTTGAGCTTGACAACAATGTGGAGTTTAAAAGAAATGGACTGCAGCTATAATTCTATCATACATTAATCCAATTGAGTGGAAAGGTCATTTAAAAATGAACACACAAAGGATTAGAAATTGCTTATAGTACATCACTACTTACAATTTCTGATCAGCTTGGATCTTCGTTCATTGTTTTGCTTACAACTTTGGAGACTACAAATACCATCTTCAGGCATTCAAATACTGTAAGCCTGGCCAATGGAGAAAAACATGCTTTCTGACCAGGGAAGGGCTCTGGCAGAGACTACTGCTGGTTCGCTCAGGGACGCATTGTGCATGTACTTGATGTGTGCTGCGCTCACACGCACAGTACAACTAAAATTGCTCTGCGCATGAGCAGAAGCAAAAAACAAGATGGCGGCACCATAGGCACCGCTGGGAGAAACAGTTTGGGGGTGTGGCAGGCCTGGGTCACTGCCGATTCCAGCGACCCAAACCGCCAAGCTACTACTGGTTTAGCTGAACTGGTCCGAACTGGTAGGAACCCACCACTGTTTCTTACTCTATTCTTTCTATCCCACCTTTATTATTTTTATAAATAACTCAAGATGGCAAACATATCTACTGTAACACATCTTCCTTCTCCTATTTGAGCTTCTAATTTATTTGTTCTATGCAATTGCACAAACTACAGGTTGTCAATTTATGAGAACTGTCTGAATAATTCTCAGAATCTATCAATTTATTGTCTTGACCTTAAGCAACATTTTTGTATGAGTTTGACTAAAAATCATGGGATGATGCACAGTTAACTCAAAATGTGGGAAGCTTTTGAAAAATGTAAATTTCTTTTTCCCCGTTGATATGATTTCATACGGCTTTGTAATATCTGGTAAATTATCTATCTGAGGAAATCAGAGATTCTTGATATGCTTTTTGTATTCCATCCAGTTCTATTACATTCCAACAATTTTCAGTGTTTTTACAATGTGGAACAATTTACAATGTAAAACATTGTAAAATTGATGCTGGTTCATTGGACATAATTTTTTCCCCACATTTTTGGCAAACAAGTAAATTGACTGCAATTTCTTTTCCTATTATTTTTAAATGACAAGTGCAGTGCTCTATTATTTCATCCTAACAAATGCATTTTTCCTTCATAAATCCAGAATAAATGCTGTGGTGTGAATGGTCCAACAGACTGGCAAACATATACCTCCATTTTTCGGTCGGTGAACAGTGACGCAGATTTTCCCTGGCCACGACAGTGCTGTGTTATGGATCTCCTAGGAAAAGCAGTTGACTTGGATGGCTGCAAATTAGGGGTGCCTGGCTATTACCATAAGACAGTAAGAATTTCTTCTTGTTTTTGCTCTGCAGCAATCAAAACACTAGTTGATATTTGTCTTCTCTGAAATGTTAATGGGATGCTCAGTGCTAGCAATATTTTCTCCCAGTGTGGTAGGCTGAAGTGTTCCTCTTCTCCTTGTATTCCCTGTTTTAGCCCACCCTTCCCCCAGTAAGTAGCATGTCAGAGAAGAACAACCCTACCATAAGGCAAAAGCAAAACCCTACCATTAAGCAGCAAATCAGGGAAATTGCCAACTAAAATAAGTCTACCTCTAACATTCTGCCTTCCCAACTTTTCACCAAGAGCAGTTGCTTCATGGCGACTAAGTTATGCAATTTTCCAGAATGGCCTACCATTGCTAGCTACCAGGGGTGGCTTCTGGTTTCTGTTACTGCTGGTTAGCTCAGGGACGTGCTTAGCGTGTGCATGCTTGATGCGCGCTACGCTTGCATGCACAATAGTAAAAAAATTGCAAAAAAGGAGAGGGCAGTGCCTACGCTGCCATTGATAGAACCAGTTTGGGGACGTGGCTGGCCGAGTTACTACCTACTTGGCTGAACCGGTCCAAACTGGTAGGTAGCCACCTCTACTAGCTAGCCTATGCCATTATTTTAAGGCAATTCTCAGGAAACTCCAGAGATGGCTGTTGCAGTCATCTTGAAATGTGTCAGTCTGAGGATACCAATCAACTGTTATTAGGAGGAAAAGTAGTTGCACTACTACTTCTGTAGAAGGAGTGTGGAAAAGGAAGTGGAAATAGAGCAGAGAGTAGATTTCCCGGGGCTGTTACTGCTTATTAAACTTAAGGACTTAATCTTGATGAACAGGCTGAAATATTATTGATGGGTATAAAGCCATTTCTTCATCACTCTGCTAGAGTTACTGGTCTACAGTTGATTAAAATATGAGGGGATGGACTACTGAGATAATCTTAAAAGCTAACACATTGATTATAGCATAACTTTAATAGATTTGAGTCCATTACTATGCACCTGATAGCCTTCACTGGATAATCACATCAGTGGTTTCAGTGACTTTTAACCACATTACAGCTATTCGAGAAGGAATTTACTTTGGAAAGATGGATGCTAAAACTCTAATGAAAATTTAGATTATTGCTTTTGTTATTGTTCAGGACCTTGTTGGACTGATGAAACTAAAGGTATTTTATTTCCAGAGAATTTTCCTCAACTTTCAACCAGGAAGTGTGTTTTCTCTTTTTGCTTGATGACTTATTTTTTTACTTATTTGCAAGTACTAATATACATACTATTCTCATGATTCCCACATGTTGGTGCTTTTTGGCTCATATATATTCAGTTTTCAAATTTGACATAAAAATATCTATAAGAATTCATAAACATTTTTGTACAAATTTCAATCTAAAAATGCACATGTTTGTAGTGACTTTTATTAATATGTACATAGTTTGCAAGCAATTTTCCTGAATACATTTGTTTTTACTTTTGTGGACATATTTATGGCTTGCAAGCCATATTGCACAATTCTGGAAACTGCTAGTATTAACAAGCAAGTTCATTCTAGTTCCATATGAATCAGGCAGGGACAAGTTCACATTAAATCTTGCCTGTATTAATTTACATCAGTCCTTCTTTTGAATGAAGGCTTAGCAACTAGATATATGTGCCTGTAACTGATCCTCTTCGTCTTTATTGTCCCCTAGGGTTGCTTTGAAACTATTACTGGCCCCATGAACAGACACGCCTGGGGCGTTGCCTGGTTTGGATTTGCCATTCTGTGCTGGACTGTAAGTATCTAACAGAACTTTACTTGCTGGGCTTCAGGATTCAGTATCTTTTACTTTTTTGTTCTCTTACTTTTTCATCTTGTTATCCATTCTGTACGGAAAAGGTTTGGCCCTATTAGGGAATGTCTTTTCCTTATGCTTTTTTGTTGCATTAAATTTTGTTTGTAAATTATTTCTATCAAAGACCTGCCTGCTTATACTGTTGACACTAATGGTTGTGTGTAATTAAAGTTGCTTGGGGTTTAGCAAACCATCTCAACAGTTTACAGTTTAATTCAGTCTCCGGTGTTTTGGGATTGAACTCACATTTTTAATGTTGCGAGGCAGCTAAGGTCAGATAAGCCTCTCATAACAGGGAAAACTTGTTTGTCATATGCTGTATGACTTGTTTGTGCTGTCCTTCTTGGACACTTGCAATGGCTATCTGAGTTTACAGAGTCCCTCAACCAGTATAACAAGCCTCAGTTTAACTATAAAATGACCCCTAGGAAGGCAATAAAAAGAATGTGAATATACTGTATGCAGGAAGACTGGTTATCAGCAAATGAGAGGCATGTGGACAAACATGATGGGAACATGCCACCTGAATGACAGGCATAGTACAATATTTAGGATGTTTAAATAATGTTGGAGTTGGACTAGGGATAGCCAGGCTGAACAGGAATATGAATTCTAAAGTTCATCAATAGGTTGAGGCAAGCTAGACAGTTTCTCTCACTCTCATCTTAACAAATACAGTGATACCTCAGTACTCATCGTTAATTGGTTACGAGAGTCACAATGAATCCAAAAACAATGAGTATCAAAGAAATTTATACAAAGTATAATGACAGCCAACAGCAACAAGTTCTAACTTGTGCATTGAGTACCAAATAAACAACGAGTACTGGGACAAAAGTTTCATGTCAAAATTCATTGGCTAACAAGCGATGAGTTTCAAAGCAGTTGAATACCAACGTACCATTGCACTACAAGACAATAATTGAAGAAGGGAAGGGAAAGGAGCTTTACTTATTTTCCCAAACCTTATTCTAGAATAAATTGGATATTAGTGTCACTCAAAAGTAGATCCAGAATCCTCTTTTCCAGTCCATCCCTTTTAGAATATGCTTGAATATGTGGGATTAGGTACGATAGCCCATCTTGGGTTACCACAAATAATCAGTTCATATTTTTAATAAGGTATGTTCTCTGTCTAGCACAGGACCTTTAAAAGACTCTGAGAGGTCTAGCTCAGAATCTGGATACTTCCCCCCCCCCCCTTGCTTTTTTCCTTACTTTTCTTTTAGATGACAATAATGTAATATTTTTCTCATTGTTTTCTCCTCGTTGAATAGTCAGGGCAATGTGGGGAAATTTTGAAATAATCTTTCTTTTTATATTGAAACATATTTATTTTTCTGCCCTGATTAAAATATTGATTTTTATATTTCAACCAATCAATCAGTGTTTTTTCAAATTTGACAACTCTCAGAATTCCCCATAATTTCTGCTGACAGAAATACATGCTGGCTGGGGAAATTTGGGAGCTGCAGTCCACACAGCCCTGCCCTGTGTATGCAGCAGTGGTGAGTTCCTAACCGGTTTACTAGCGGTTCGCTGAGAGGGCGTTTTGCGCTTCGTTCGGACCCGCCAGGCATTGATACACATGCGCACTTGACTGAAAACTATTCTGCGCATGTGCAGAAACATGCCTGCGACAGCAGAAGATACTGGGGAACTGGTTCGGGGACGTGACAGGTCTGGCTCGCTGCCAGTTCCAGCAACCCAGGCTGCCATACCACTACCGGTTCAGCCGAACTGGTCCGAACCAGTAGGAACCCACCACTGATATGCAGGCAAGATTAATTGTTTTTCTTTCCAGCTTTGAAAAAGACCTAATAGCCTCCTGGGCAGGGAAGAAAAAGAAAAAGCATATTCCTGGTCCCTTTGAAATTGATTTGGCTTTCTCTACTGCTGGGTTCAGGCACACCTAATGTTGGCATGTATTATCCGGAAAGGAATGTGGCCCTCAACAGGAAAAGTTTGTCACCCCTGCCCTAGACATTGCCACAGTTAGGCATAAACATGCATGGAAACAAGGTTAGGCATAAATTCCTGGGCAGTCTAAATATTTGTTTCTGTGCATATTTTTGGCAGTGTCTTTAATGGAAGCCTTTATGAAATGCTTTCCATAACTTACATCATTGCTTCTTTGTCTGCATAGTTTTTCATAAAAAGAGGAAGACCTGAGAACCATTTTACTCGCAGAAGTTTTCATAGTTTTGCTGTCAGCCATGGTGCTTATTAAATTTATACAATTGTATTTCTGTATGGTAATAAAACAACCTTGGGGTTCTATGTTGAACACAATACAGGCTTAATTCAGAGAGCTAGTTGTCCCACACCTAATTATGCTGCTTGTACAAATTAACTTCAGGCTGTTCTTCTGTTCAGTGGAGTTTTAAAGTGGAAAACTAAAATGTGCTGCATAAAAAAAGATGCTTGCAATAATTTTCCTTGAATTGTTTCTTTTTTCTCCCCAGACTTGGGTCCTTCTTTGTACGATGTTCTACTGGAGCAGAATTGAATATTAAAGATGCAATGGCCTTGCAATCTGTTCTTCCTGCTTTTTTCCATAAATCTACATAGTCCCCCCCCCTCCTTCTGTTCAGTATGAGCATTTCTCAGAGACTACCTGGATAAGTCCCTGAAGTTTTCTTGGCAAGGTTTTTCAGAAGTGATTTGCCTTTGCCTCTTTTCCAGGGTTGAGAGAAAGTGACTGGCCCAGAGTCACCAACTGGCTTTGCACAAAGTGGGACTACAATTCATAGTCTTCACGTTGGTAGTCTGATGCCTTAACTTGTACACTAAACTGGCACTCACAAATAGTTCATAGCTATATAATTTCTCTCTGTGGAACTTCTCAAGATGTCCCTTTAATCTTTGCTTCTCTTCTCCCATTGCCTTAATTTCAGACATTGTAGCTATAGTAATCATAAGGTAGGAAACTGGACTATTCTAGCTGTAACTATTCTGTAACAATCAATACATGTTAAGACATAGCAATATATGAGAAAATGGAGGTAGAGACCCCGGTGCTCTCTTATTTGTTTGTTTGTTTGCCAATGTTTCATTACTCCACTAGGTAACATCATCTGTCCCAATGACTGTTAGATTTGTTGCTCCCTGTTTATATACAGCACCTGGCTGTATTAGTGAAGCTGTGCCTTTTTCTTTGGTAGTTACTCTGTTAGTTCCTTGATTAGATACATAGAGATAAATCATTTTTATATATCATTCAAAAGAAACGATTAAAAAAACTAAGAAGGAAATGAAAAGATCAGAATACATCATCTCTAGCATCCAAAACCCAATAAACAGTGATTAATACCAGACAAACAATGAAGCAGAAAACCATCTGTTCCTTCACTCAAGGAAAAAAACACAGCCCTACCAACACTGGCAGGACAAGCTACTGTATATAAACAGGGTGCAAACTTACACTTACACTGATGGTGTTATCTATTTGACTAATGAACCAACAGCAAGCAAGCAACCTGCCTAGAGAACACAAAGGACCTCACAGTTCAACCCTGAGCTACATTTATTCTTTTGTTGGAAATGGCTTTTTTAAGAAAATAAGAAAGTGTTGAAACAGTTGTTTGGAATGATTATCTAGGGGTTTTTTTGCAGTATTTTTTGGCTACCTCTGATATACACATATGATCCTCAATTTACCAATGTTTGATTTGATTCCTAAGTTATTTACGATTTACGGTTATTTCTTAAAAGAACCGAACATAGACAAAGATCTATACTTGAAAACACGTTGAATGCAAGAGATACCTAACATTTTCCTTGGATCTTGAATTAAATATATTTTGTTGGAATTCAAAATGAAATCATTTTTATTATTTTAGTATGAATGACTAATATATAGATGGCCAGCCAATTATGCAATTGATCTTTTGTTAACACATCAAACTGTAAGACAGTGTATGCCTTGTACAGAGAATTGTAAGATGCAAATGTTTTTCCATGAAATATCAGCTCTAAAAATAAATACGTTTTCTGTATATTTTATTTCTGTTCAAATCTTTAATAAACTGTTTTTTTAAATAAAATAAAGATGGTTAAGATAATATAATTTTGTCTCACATGTGACCTGTTAGATTGGGTAATGGATAGCTACACACAGGCTTAACGGTAACAACAGCTCTTTATTAAGTACAATAAGTGAGAACAATTCAGCGAAGGTTGATAGCAGCCTTTTTATAGGGAGCTGTCAGACCCTTCGACCAATAGTGTTAAACCTCTGTTTCCGCCGGAACAGAGGACCTTGGTGGAAACCACTGTAGTTAGAACAAGTATCTAACATAACCCAAGTATATTGATTGTTCATTATAGTGATTTTTCTCATGCTTTCCAAATCTGAAAAACTGGAATGAATGTTTTTTTTTAAAGTGGGAAACTTCAGTTATTGAATCAAATCTGTGTCTTCATTATTAAAAAAAAACACAGTACAGATAATCATGTTTTATAAGAGATTCTTTAACTGTAGGACCTGGATACTTAAGTATAATTTTGATGTATGAACATTAAACCACTTTTATCTATATTTTCATGAAAGAACATTTGAATTTGTAAATAGAATGTCATAGCTTTAACCTTTTTTGTTTCCCAATGATGCAAAGGAAGGTTTTGCTGAGGAATAGAATGCACAAAAACATTTTTCACGTGTACTTTCTTCCACAATGCAAATGTGGTGAAGTGGGGTGAAGTTTAGAGGGCAGGGTCATATATTGCTCTCAAATTACCCATGAATGAATGTTCTGAAGGGGAAACTTCTATAATATATTAAAGAGTTTATTACTTTTTTTCTGTATTTATCTTAACATTGATTATTCAGAGGGTTACTCCAGACAACCACTAGAAGGCACAAAAAAGATGTGTTTATTTTCAATAAAACAACCAAAATTAATAACTTCCTGTATGTGAACTATTCTGCTCACCATTACCCAATTTTTATAAGCAGTAGCTGTTTTCTTAAGGCTATTCAACATTTCTGCAGTGGTTAAACAGGCAGTATAGCTGCTGGTTAAGTAGCAGTGGTGAAATTCGGCAGGTTCTGACAGGTTCTGGAGAACCAGTAGAGGGAATTTTGAGTAGTTTGGAGATCCGGCAAATACCACATCTGGCTGGCCCCAGAGTGGGATGGGATTTTGCAGTATCCTTTTCCTGCCATGCCCACCAAGCCATGCCCACAGAACCAGTAATAAAAAAAAAAGAATTTCACCACTGCTACTTAACCAGCAGCTATACTGCCTGTTTAACCACTGCAGAAATGTTGAATAGCCTTAAGAAAACAGCTACTGCTTATAAAAATTGGGTAATGGTGAGCAGAATAGTTCACATACAGGAAGTTATTAATTTTGGTTGTTTTA